TACGGACACTTGCTTAATACGAAACCTCTATATTACGGACACTTGCTTAATTTTCATTTCGTGTCATAATGCAGCGACTAATTCTTGCCAATGTTTCTTTTCTCAGGTGATGTTTTTTACTTTTATGATACTCGGTGCTTTGTTAATTGTCAATATGTTGATTGCTATGATGGGGAATACCTATACTGCAGTAGAAAGTACAGAAAAAGAATGGACGCGACAGGTTAGTTGGTTATTTCAGTYAAACACGCTTGCCATCGAACAGTTGCATCAGTTYTCAAWGATCGGGTCCMATGTTTTTRTCTGYTGCTGTTGCTATACTTTTAAGAATTATTCTCTGGAAGTAAGGTTCATTATTTAAGAATATCAGCGTTGTCTACGTCCGACAAAAGGTTTTTATATTCCGAGCTTTCGGACCAACAGATCACTCATCAGGTAACTAAGGTGATAATGATGACTTTAGCGGCTTAAAATATACTATTTTCTAATCTCAACATATCCTAATACTGCCTGCATTGATAACATTTAGGGTTTTTCCTTTCAGTGGGGGAGAATTGTGCTTAATATTGARCGAATGTTCTCACCAAGACAGAAACTGAAATTACAACAAAGCTACTCAGAACCATATGGCTCGAATAATGGCCGCGCTTTGATCATGAGACTACGAAATAATAACAAGGTAGATAGTTAGTTTGAATCTTTTAAGGCATTGTGACTGTAATATGTTCCATCTATGCTCTTTGTCATTGTCCTACTTCACCACACCACACCACACCACACCTTTCCACCCCTCACCGCACCTAACCACACCATACCACACCACACCTTCCATTCACCAAAGGTCTAAGGACAAACTAAAGATATTCTTAATGGTTGAAAAATTCATGCATCCTCATCAATCAATCACTAACTATTTTTTGCCTTAATATGATTGATTATTATGTCTGTCTTGTTTCGCTATTAAGCAATGAAGCTTGAACCGGTTTACTGGCGAAATGGTTTATAATAAACCTGAGGGTTCGTGATTTACTGATCTTTTCTCGTCTTCTCCCAACCATACCGTGCGGTTTATTTCGCCAGTAAACCGCTTCAAGCTATCGTTTATTGATTTTATATTATAGCAAAAGTCTTTCAAGACAGAAGGCTA